ATAAGTGTTCTTTTGTTTTAATGCTGTGAGCTGCTCAAAGCTGCTAGTTGGTGGACTTGCTTCAGACTCGTGGCACCAGGGTATTGTGGACAGATTTATGACGTTGTCTTGGGCTTCTTTGTGGAATTTGGCTCTTTGGGTTCTTCAACACCAATCTGATCGAATCTTAAATTGTCTGAGTCGGTCTGATACCCTACAAGTAGAATAAAATAAACATTAAATAATATCAAACATCTAGTCTGAGTCGTCCAACGCGATCTTAAGTAGAATAAAATAAACATTAAATAATATCAAACATCTACATTCACTATATTATCCAGTCTCCGCTGTAGCTCCCGTGACCTAAATTCCCAGAATGCATTGCTGCTGTGACGACAAATTCCCATTCTCTATATATCTACTATTTAAGTAAAATGTACTTAAAAGACTAACGGGGATTAGGCTGTTAAAGACACGATTCTTCTGATTGAGGCCATTTTGAATTTTCAGTCCAACGGGTGACAGGACTGCATTTTTCTGCACTGCTATCAACTTAAAGGCACTGAAAAGGTAAGAATTAAATCACATATGAGCAGATTAATTGTTGAATGCTTTAAATGTCACCAAATATGTTATGATAAAGCAAAATGTTTGCTGTATTAGCTGGTTCACAAGTACTCCTGCATTTACGTTAGCCTTGAAGCTAAAATAAGCTAACAGTTAACGATTTCGCGCCACATTTTTCGTTTTCTTGATCGACACTTTAAGTAATATACTTTTGTTTTAACGTTTTTATCCACTCAGTATTAAGCATGTGAGTTACGTAGTTATGGATTAATTGGGTTTTACGGCTGTAATTTAGTTGTAATTTGGATTATGTACCCAATATGCCTTAAACTAATGCTTGTATATAACTAATAAAGTTATTTGACTGTTTTCCTTCATTATCCTTTGAAATAATATGAAATATGTCTTCAAACATTAGGAAAAAAGTAGTTTCCTACTCATTTAACGTTACACAAATGACTGAAGAGTCAGAGTTAGCAGAGACGTTTATTCTGTGTCCGAGTTTGGCTGTACGGGAGTTTGGGGAAAGTACCATACGGTAATCGCTTTACGTTTCTTTCATTTTAAGGAATTTGACATCAGCATTGAGCTCATTTATGACTCCGGCGCTTCTCCGTCATAAATCTTCTCCGTCAGAGGCCAGCCGCACCGAAAAAGGTAAGAAATGCATTAAATATGAGCGGATTGAATTGTATACCTGTATACTTAATGTTTTTCATTATCTGTAATGCAACTCCTCAATGATTTAAAGTTACTGCTTGTATACAACATAAATATACTTGCCTTTTATTTAATTATATGTTGAAATTATATGAAATATGTCTTTAAACATTTGGAAAAAAAGTTTATCCTAAAGCATTTCCATAAATTAATGAGTTAAATTTAGCTAAGACAGGTGTTTTGGGAACGTCATGTGGTAATTGCTACTTTTTTGCTGTAATTTTAAGCAGTTTGACGTCAAAATTGAGTTCTCATTAAGACTGGGGCACTACTGAACTATTATCATGTGAGGAGCAAGGGACAAGACTAAAATCTTCTCCATCAGAGACCAACTGCCCTGAAAAAGGTAAGAATCACATATGACCACATTGATGCTGGAATGTTGTAAAGGCACTATTGCAATGGGGTATAAATGAAATATAATTACTATGTTCCTACTTCTTACCAGTTAACATTTAGTTTGTCCTTGTTTTTCTTTATTTCAGTGGACAAGTTGTTTTAGAATATAATAATAATAATAGAATAGAATAATAATAAATCAATCTAAAGAAATAATTTCAATGAAATGGAATGAAAGTAGAATCTTTGTCCGCTTACACTGTTTTACTTCACAGGATCTGGATGATGAAGATCCAAGAAGATCCAATCACGTCCCATCAACAATCCCACACCTCTGAAATGAAAATTCTGTCATTTACTTGTTTGTCACTCCAAACCTGTAAGACTTTTATTCGTCATCAAAACACAAATGAACATATTTTAAATGAAATCTGACAGATTTCTGTCCCTCCTTTGACAGTCCATGCAACTACCACTTTGATGCTTTGAAAAGTTCATAATCGAGCAGTTTTTATAATTTAAATTTTCTGAAGAGCCACGATTGCTTTATATGATAAACAGTTTGAATGTAGCATTTTATTCACATATATAAAACTGATCAGTGAACATAAACAGAAGTACTTGCTTGACACACAAGAACAAACCTCACTGGTTCTTGCAGAAGCTCAAATGTGCTGCGTGACACAAGAATGAAACGCATTGGTTCTCACACATTGAGCAAGAATGCTTGAGCTTCCGCTTACCATAACTGATCTGCTCTGACGAATGTGCATATGTGAATAAAAGCTAAGTTAGATCTGTTCAGCATATAAAGTAACCGAGGCTCTTCAGAAAATGTTGACTAAACTGCTCAATTTTTATGGATTAGTTTTATGATCTCTTTATGAACTTTTGAAGCGTCAAAGTGGTCCTTGCATAAACTGTCAAGGGAGGGACAGACGCCCCTCAGATTTTATTAAAAATATCTTCATCTGTGTTCTGAAGATGAACAAAAGTCTTATGGGTTTGGAACAACATGAAGGTGAGTAAATGATGACAGAATTTTATTTTTTGGGTGAACTAACCCAAGTGAAGTGTGCTCAGCTTGTAGTAGTAAGTGTTAAGATATTGTGGACTGCAGAACATACATTTTAAGTTTCAAAGTTTACTCTGTAAAACACTATTAAATGTTATTCATTTTTATTTGCTGATGTAATGTTTTTAAAGTAATTGAATTTGATATTTTAACAATGTTCAAAACACTATATACACTGTTTTAAATAGGTCAAGTATTATTCTGAGTGAGTCCATCATATAAACTAGGTGCTATTTATTGTTTGTTTTGTTTTTTCCCCTTGAAGCCTGTAAACAGCTTTATGTAAAGATGAATACATTCATCTGAAAAGCATGTGTGGTAACACTTTAGAACTAGGGAACACATTCACTATTAACTAAGAGTTTGCCCTCAATAAAATTAATAGTAAGGTTTTTGTTATATGAGGTTGTTAATAAGTTAATACATTAATATGTGCTTTATAAGTACTAATAAACAGTCAATATGCTAGCAATATGCATGCTAATAAGCAACTAGTTAATAGTGATAATTGATCTCTAAACTAGTGTTACTAGTAGTGTTAATGATACTCTGTAATTTGCATTGTTGCACTGTTGTAACATTGTAAAGTGAATAAATGTTTTGTTTTGAGGTGCCTGTTTACGGTTTCATTACACTATTGTAGAACAATTTTTTTAAATATTTAAATACAGATTGAATACATTTTTTAAATAAAAAATGTGGCTTGTAAGGAGAAATTGGTAAATATTACTTTAAAAACAACAAGGCTTATGTTTGATGAACTTAAAACTGTAATGTAAAGTCTAATAGAACAAACAAGAATAAAATGAGTTCAAAATACTTAAAAAGCTGATGCAAATAGTTGCCTCAATTTTATTGAGTAAAACAGGCACAATATAAGTGTTAAGATATTGTGGACTGCAGAACATACATTTGAAGTTTCAAAGTTTACTCTGTAAAACGCTATTAAATGTTATTCATTTTTATTTGCTGATGTAATGTTTTTAAAGTAATTGAATTTGATATTTTAACAATGTTCAAAACACTATATACACTGTTTTAAATAGGTCAAGTATTATTCTGAGTGAGTCCATCATATAAACTAGGTGCTATTTATTGTTTGTTTTGTTTTTTCCCCTTGAAGCCTGTAAACAGCTTTATGTAAAGATGAATACATTCATCTGAAAAGCATGTGTGGTAACACTTTAGAACTAGGGAACACATTCACTATTGACTAAGAGTTTTCCCTCAATAAAATTAATAGTAAGGTTTTTGTTATACGAGGTTGTTAATAAGTTAATACATTAATATGTCCTTTATAAGTACTAATAAACAGTCAATATGCTCGCAATATGCATGCTAATAAGCAACTAGTTAATAGTGAGAATTGATCTCTAAACTAAAGTGTTACTAGTAGTGTTAATGATATTCTGTTATTTGCATTGTTGCACTGTTGTAACATTGTAAAGTGAATAAATGTTTTGTTTTGAGGTGCCTGTTTACTGTTTCATTACACTATTGTAGAAAAAAAATTAAAAATATTTAAATACAGATTGAATACATTTTTTAAATAAAAAATGTGGCTTGTAAGGAGAAATTGGTAAATATTACTTTAAAAACAACAAGGTTTATGTTTGATGAACTTAAAACTATAGTTTGTAAATTGAAAAAATTGAGTTGGCATCACTTAAGAAGTTCAAGTTGGAAACATGTAAAGTCTAATAGAACAAATAAGAATAAAATGAGTTCAAAATACTTAAAAGGCTGATGCAAATAGTTGCCTCAATTTTATTGAGTAAAACGGGCACAATATTTTTTACAGTGTACATATTCTGTTACATGATAATCAGAGATGAAACAGGATATGTCATAAAAGATACATGATGGAGATTACTGAACAACAAAACTGGAAATCTACTGAAATGAATGAACTTCCACTGCTTCATAAATTCATAATCTATTATCATGTTATTTTAATCTCAAGGTGTCAGGAGAAACATTTACCGTCCGAATAGGGCTTTTGAGTTGATCTGAATCTCACAGTACAAGCGTCACTCGATAGAAACGTCCACTTTTGGTATGGCAAGATGTCTTAAAATGTATTTCTTTTTTTAACATTTAAACTTAGACCACATTATTAGATTGCCTTTTGACTTTATGAATACACGTAAATGACAGCTTAATGATTTTTTATATTTTTTGTATATTTATTTAAAGATCGCATGTACCCTTTTTTGTCACTGGTGTTACCTTACTTCTTTGGCAATTTTAAAGGTTTTTATGAAATATTATTTCTCTTTTTTTCAGCACATGTAGTCAGAGTTACATAAAAATAATGATAATGCAACAAATAAGGAGATTGTTTTATTTTAATCAGGTTTGTTAAAAGTGTGACTGAATGATGTTAGTTCATTTGCACAAACATGTATTTGCTATAACAACTGGTTAGGACAGATTTATCCAGATTAGGGATGTCAATTTTCGATCATTTCCATTAACGATCAATTAATCGATTAATCATTAACCTCAATGCTGCAAAATGGGTCTATGCAGCCCGGCATGACAGGATGTGCAAAAGTTACTCAAAAAAAAAAAAGAAACCGCTTTCTCACCCAATGTAAAGGGGATTTAGTCTGAATAAAATGCTAGTAGCAGGATTGTAAAATCAATAGATGGGATTATAATCATTTAATAATATAAAGAGAGCTTGTTTGAGATCATTTTACTTTGTCGACTGTTTCCTATCCTGTCACGGAGACCGTTGAACGCGCCTCTTTAAATGGTTTCGTGGTGCTCGTTATTGTATTTTAAAACACAGTTGCAATGTTTTCAACTGACATTATGGCATTTAAAATAAAATGATCCCAAACGTAACTGTGGCGCGTGTGGCTGTGCTGCGCAGTCAGTGAACCGCTTCAATCGGCGCTGCTGCAGCAAAACACACTGTTGCTCACATCAAACATTTTTAACTGAGTATTATAATAATGCACAATAAACTTGACTTATTATGACCAGTACTTAATTTGATCCTGCTGGATCCGGTTACGGAAAATGTCAGATTTTGAATTTTTGCGTTGCGGTAGGCCTATTTGTTTTTAATAATCCGGCATTTACAGTGCATTCGTGACAGTGCATACGAGACGGAGCGAGCGCGGGTTTGGCTAGATGTATTTGGAGCTCCGCAATTTAGCAACAGTAAAGACTGCATTTTACAACAATCACCATTGTGCTGATTCTGACGTTAATTTTGGGTTTTAGGGAAAAAACTAATGTGCACCGCTGTTGAGGGAAAGTAGCTGCACTAAACGCAGCTAGTTTTTAATACTTTTACCTGATATCTTAACAAAATCGACAATAAAATTATCTTAATATCACAGCCACAGACCTAAAGTGTAAGCAGATGTTTGATTGTTTAGTTCTCTGCTCTATCATCACAATTAAACAGGGCTTTCATGTTGAGCGCTCTGTAGCTCCTCTGCGAACAACACAAATGCATCAGACAAAAGTCCTAATATTACTGCATATAAAAACAGCGACTCTTGCGAGATAGAAGTGTTCCTTATTATTTGCGGCTTCAGCAAGATTATTCAACAGCTCTAAAGATGTTTTTACCATTACAATAAATCCAGATCTAAAACTGCCTCAAGCTTTATAACATTCAGCCTCATTAATGAAGAATAAACACCAACCTGTTAGTTCTTCAGTATCTTCAGTGTGTTTGATTCTGCAGGGCTCTGGATCTCTCATCTTCTCTCTGTCCTCTTTAATAAACTCAGTCTTTGCAGATTTCAGCTCTTCCTGATGATCTGATGCTCGTCTTCACTTCAGCATTTATTGCTGAATTACTGAACGTGTGATTGTTGTGGGACGAGCTTCACTGGACATGAATGTCTAAGTGAAAGAAGCAGATTTGCCAAAATCAACAATAAATAAAGCCAGAAAAATAAATGTTATATGCAGTTACTTATATATATATATATATAAATAATTTAAACATTTATGTAGGTGAAGATGTCCTCTAAATTGTATCTTTGAAGAGACGAGAGCTCACTCAGTAACACTGCAATCTCATGTGGTAATAATTCACACATTATATGCATTTCATAGCCACATGGGACATTTTAAATCTATACATGAACAGAGTTATAATGTATTAAAAATCTGTAACGTTATAGATTTTTAATACATTATGTGGCTCATTACTTGGGCTCAAATATGTATTTATCAGTGTTTGTAAGTAATTATAACCATGTAAAGTGACTATAACAAGTTTGATCTGCCAAAG